TCTTTCCCATAACCAAGGGGAAACAAGGATGAGGAAACGAGAACCTGCTGCTGCCAGGAGGAAAAGGTCCTGCTGTACCTACACACACTCGCCCTCTGTCCCCCACCACCTCCTCTGCCCTTTGGGTCACTGTAGTGACTTACACTCAGTGAACAGAGCAGGAAAAAAAACAAATCTCCTCTCTTACGCAGTGAAGGACCATTAAATGAGATGGGCTATCTCGTATAATTTCATTCTGCACCCCCCAATAGCAGCTGATGTCGAGAAGTCTGCCTTAAGTGTTACAGACCCCGACGCCCCTGCGCACTGGAGTACAAAGCATCCTATTGTGCAGGCATGTGTCCTCAGCACAGCCTCCTAAAACAGGCCGAGCTGATTTGCATCCTAAAACTTCCCCTTTCAATAAAAACACTTCAGAAGGGTTTATGTTTTCCTAAAGTCATTTTGGCATTTTTTTTTTCCTATGCTAAAAATATCCCATCCTAGTTTTACTGACTCTTAAACATGCTGTACATAGACCCTCATATGTCTGCTGGAGGTGCGGGACTAGACACAAGAATAAACATAATTGAGAAAATGGGAAATGCAGTCCAGAGAAAGGAACACAAAGGCCTCTCAGTTACAGACAAAACTTAAAATAAAAGTAAAGAATGGACTATTTGCTCCTACCTGCTTTCACCCTGAGCCTCCAAAGCTCATTACCTATCAAACACCCTTTTGTCCTCAAAATGAAAAGTGAATGCTAGAGGGATTGCAATATCCACAAGCGAAAGTCTAGCTGGCACACAGAGGAGACATTTGCTAAGATCTTCAGAGGGTTTCCCAATCCATTCATAATGCATCAAGTATATCTCATGTCTGACTGGTGCTTGAAATATCCAAGCATTATCCATCAACAAATCTTACAGCAACTGCCTGAAAGAGAAGATCATCCTCCAACAAGATGACAACTCCTGCAGCCAGTAGTGATCTCCTCCCTATGGCACCAGCCCATGGGCAAGTAAAGGTGGTGACCCGTTACACTTGGCTTGAGGCCCTTCACAGGGATCAGGAACAGGCAAGTGTTTCCCTAGGAGCACCCATATAAGGGATACTCTCAGAAGTACATACAGATATATCCATGATAATGAAGAGGTAAACAAGAATGGCCTTAAAATGAGTGATTGCCCACATTAGGAGGAAGCAGGTTAACAGATGCACTTCAAAGCATATGAATCTGATTTTATTTACAAAAAATTCAGCCTTACCTCATGAATTTCTGCATGATATGGTGCTGGATCCCAGACAATTAAGATTCCAGTGTTATATAGCGCTTCCCTCAGGAACTGCTGCTCCTCAACAGTTATGAGCTTGAATAACAACAACAAACACAGTAATATACAGTATGCTGTCAGAATTAGCAGGCAGCCAAGCAGTAAAGCATACCTGAATACAGCCACAGCCACCCTACTGCTTGTTGTTGAGCATGCCCCACTGCACACAGCCAAGGAGACAACCCCCCATGATGCCCTTCCAGTGCGCACTCCAGTCCTACCTAGCAGCACAGGATTTAGTGGAGAGTCACAAGAAAAAATGCCGTTATGCATTACAGGGCTTTCTCTATCCATCTTCAATAATAAAATAAGGACAGGACCCACAGAGCGGCCCAGCTTGTGTGAATACAATTGCTACCACTACCAGAAGCAGGTGGGAACATCAGTTGCTGCCACCAGGATGGTCCTCCAGGAAGAGCCTAATGCAAACACACTGTTGGCTTTATCAAGGACTTTCATTTGAACCAAAAAGAGTCCGCATGTGGATGGTTTCTCCTGAGCAGCATGAACTCAAGACAGCTGGGGCTCAGCACTGGTCCAACTTGTTGTGACAGCCCTGGTGCAAAGAACCAAGAGACCAGGGCACCCTAGCTGACCCCCACACCAAGCCCCACCTTGCCTCTCCAGAGCAGGGCAACAATTCGGTTTGAATCTTGTGAGAGCAGCAACGAGGAGGAAAGCACCACAACAGCAAAGTACACGGGCCAGAGACAGTATCGTGGAGAGAGACTGCTCCACCAGAGGCTTTCCCAAGCGAACAAAACCAGGTGGTTCAAATGGAGAAGTTGCCCTTTACAGTCTGGACACAGCCACAAGAGTCACAGCTTGTGACACCCGAGGGCAACCCAAGGTCTGCAGCAAAAATCAGTCAGAATCAAACGAGATGGGGGCTGATCTCCCATCCTCCCCACCAAAAAGGCATAACCCATCCAGGCACAGCTTGTAAACATCTGCTGAAGAAAAGCATCGTCATAAAAATCAGCTCCCATTTCTCCTGATTTTCTCCATGGATCTAGTTAAGAGATAGATAACTTGCCCTTGAGTATCCCGGCTGCCCCCAGCAGCAGGCTGCCTTCCTGGCTGTCCCTGTAACCAGAGCACAAGGTTGCTCTGGCCAGCCCAGATGCAAATTATTCCAAAAGCAAAGAGGGTTTCCTCTCATCTGTTTTCAACTCTGTGGGATTAGGCTTTGGCCCTGACCACGTGTACTGCCTAGTTTCATTTCCTTACAGTAGCTAAAATATCTAGGCCAATGAGTGATCTTGCAGGTGTGAACTTCTGCCTCCATCCATGGCCACCAGAGTCGGTGGCAAGGAGGGGGCACAGCAGCTGGCACCAGCAGTCCCCTTAGCCAGGTACAAGTGGGATGGAGCACGGCAATGGGACATGAATAGGACAAGGAACATGGGCGCTTTATTTTCATTTCATTGTTTCTATTTAAAGGCTAGAAATCTTCCAGGAACTTTTCTGATGTGAAACACATGAAAGGAGGCTTTAAGAGAGATTGAGCATCAGAGAAAGCAAAGGTCAGCCAAGCAAAGCCATGTGAGTTGGCAGAGGCACACAAACCCCTAGAGAGCTGTGACAGGCACAAAAGCAAAGGGATAAGAAACCAGGTGGGGAGCACCCCCCCAGCCACAAAGTGTTTGCTGTTTCCTTCCCT